GTTGGTGTGTGGCATCTGCAAGGATGACGTCAGTGAAACGCCATCCAAGGGACATTGTGCTGTTTAGAATGACATAAACCGACCGAACTAAATCCTCATCAAATTCTATTTTACTTAAATCCTACCCCTTAAGCAAAGTGCTGACGCGAAAGGCGTCCGACATTTTGTCAACACGCGACAACTTAAGCCGAATAGACCGTAAATCCTGTGCATTCATCTTACGGCCATATGTTTTGAAGACATACTGCCGTAACTCACAAGTTACCTTAAAGGTACCCATCAATTCGTACACCTGAAACTCCTGTTCAGGTGTAAGTTGCCTATTCTTAACATAAAACGACGGATTACCTGTCTGAAAATTATGACTATGCACCATGGACCACGTTGCGAGACAGAAGACCCCATGGCAGTGCCGGATGGTGACTTGCGCTTTGCAATCCAGGTTACGGTACCTATCAGATCGAATAGATTTATTAAAATGTGTTAAATCTATCTGTTACCTGTATCCGGGTGCTCCACATTTCCTTTTCCGATGAACGCAATAATATTTCACGAAGAAATATGGCACTCCTTCAGGTAGTTGTTTTCCAGTGGATTTGGCCCAAGATTCTCGTGTTTGAGCATTGCATATGTAGAATTGACTGCTCGTCTCCATCTGATAGTCACGAAAATCCGCTTAGAAAGCCTCAAAATTTTGTACGTCATCGTCAACACTCTCCGAAACGTTAGACTGTCATCCGTAGTGGAATCCATTTGAGTGACAGCGCAGAGCAAAAGCAAAACGGGTGCAGCCATTTGCAATGGCTATTTATAGGATACCTATATATAGTGCGCGATAAACAATTACGTCATTTATATTGGATACAAACAACCATCTATTATAAAACCAAGTGAACTTATGATTTGGAGGAAAAATTAGAATTATATGGCATTCTAAATACATTTATTGATTAGTTAAACTGTATTCAAAGCTTTCAGGCAACCCATCGACTGGTAGATTCATAAACCTAATTCACTTACTCCAAGTACCCGGTTGAGCTTGGTGTACATTTTCGTTTGATTGTTTCCTGCGTTCTGCTTGGGTGAGCATACATCCAAGTATGTTTTTTCCTATCTGTAAAATTTATTATAATGTGTTTTAGATACCGTATAAACGTCGTGGTCTACCGTCTGTATTCGTGTTTTCATTGCTCGTTCTCGTCGGATTCGGTTACTTGGGATCGTTCGTTATCAGGTTGAATACGTTCGTTCCAGTGCGGAGTTTATTATCGACAGCGTGTGCGAATTTGTTCATTCCATTTGATGAGTGATCGTAATACCAAAGTTCAGGCCCGTTCGTACTAGATCACGGTGTTGGTGTAGTTTAATACGCGTATTAGACTTACGAGCTCAAGCGGACGCAACAGTATTTGGATTGGTTCAGGATTCATTTACCGATCAGTTGAAAGTTGTTTTCAATATTTGGATTTGTGCCAAGCAAACATTTCTGTGTTTATACCCTTGTTGTCTATCCGATTGCCCTCTTGCAGTCGTGACTGTGGTCGAGCTGTAACATTTGTTTGGTTTCAGTTGAATTCACTAGCGGTGAGCGATGTACCGTTGTGCTTTATTTCTTCCTGTTTATTTGTGCTATGGATCCATCCAGTCACCGTTCTTCAGAGTACGAGTCTCAGGCTGATGCGGCCGGTGCACCTCCCCCTGGTAAGTTTGACTATTGTTGTCCAGACTATGACAATGTTGATGTTCATAAAGATGTCAAGTTAGAGCTGGAAAGCGCCCAACTCGAGTTAGAGGCAGCAGAGGCGATGCGTAGGGCGGCAGCAGCCAAACGTAGGGCTGCTGAGAGGTTACGCCATAAAGACAGGATCGACGTTATCGACACTATTCGGTTATCTTATATTATAGACAGTGTCAGTCCAAGAGATCACGGCCCTTGTTCAGATAGCATTACACCTGAGAATGTTCGTAATAAGGCTGTAGAACTGGGGGTTAAACCCAGACTAACTGATGTCTCAGAACAGAAATTGGACAAGATCGATCTCTTAGTTAACCAACTTGAGCTGCCTAGGTATGAGATCCCTTGTTTTGATGGATCACCCACATAGTACATTCCATTTTTCAGGTAGTTCGATGACCATATCGCAAGTCGGGTATCTGACGAAGGCCAGAAGCACACATACCCTTCCTTTTATTGTCAAGGGAAGGCCAGAGAAGCTATTCAAGGCTGTTTATTATATCCTACTACGGAGGGTTATAAACGAGCCAGAAAGATATTAGAAGAACGCTTTGGCCAGAGACATGTGTTAGTAAGAGCCTTATTAGATGGTGTCACCAGACANTTATGTCGCCGATTTAAATTTAGTCACTACGATTGAGCGGGTTCTAGCTAAACTGCCACGCTTCATGACGATCGAATGAGTTAAGCGAGCCGAAGAAATATATCAAGTTAACCGTGAACCATCGTTCAGTGATTTGTGTGATTTCGTTTCTGCTAAAGCCCGACTGCAGTGGAACCGCTACAGTTGTTTATTGCAAGATCGTAGATCTCTGACTGACACTAACAAAAGAGTTGTTACGCAAAGAAAGACCTTTGCATTTGTGTCCAACAATAGGGCATGTGTCATGTGCGGATTAAACCACTTTGTAGACGATTGTCAAGAGTTTCAAAAAATGTCCGCACAAGAGCGTTGGTTGATGGTTTCTAAACACAAGTTGTGATTTAGGTGTCTCCAACCAGGGCATCGGGTTGAGAAGTGTTTATCAAACACAAGATGCGAGCAAAAGGGCTGTCTTCGTGTGCACCACGAGTTGCTGCATCAAGAGAAAGAGATGCCAAGAGTTTATAATGCTTCGTGTTAGCTGTTTTCTAATGACTATGGAGTGAGTTTGGGAATTACAGTAATTATTGAGGGTCCTATTGGGTCTTCGATAACTAACACCCTGTTAGACACAGGAGCCAAAACTTCCCTGATACGAGCGGACCTAGCAGATCAATTAGGTCTAAAGGGTAAACCGGAGGACATTTTCATGAACACGCCGTTAGGGAATACACGCAAAGGCTGTTCCAGTTTAACCTTTAGAGCAAAGTCCTTGGATGGTACCGAAGAGATACACGTCCAGAAGGCATACACTGTCGCGTCTGTACTCGAGAGTCCTGTTTCAAAACCAGGTGCTGAAACGCTTTCTGGATGGAGCCACCTAAAGGGAGTCAACCTTCCCATAACGAGCTGTCCGATAGTTGGTTTGCTGATTGGTTTCAATGTGCCCGAAGCACATTGGATACTGGAACAAAGACGAGGAAAGAAAGGGGACCCATACGCAGATCGTACTCCGTTAGGTTGGGTCCTTAGGAGACCGGTAGATCGCAGTCACAACGGTGGTGTGCGTATGTGTGCAGTACACGGACTGAAGAAAAATGAGGAGGATATCTGCCGGCTTTACAATCAAGAATTCACCGAATGTGTCTCAAGTGACTTGTCTCAGTCAGCTGAAGACGCACGCGCGGTTATCATTGCGGAAAAGTCTGTGCGAGAAGTGGAGGGACATTTATGTATAGCATTGCCGTGGAGGGACGATAAGCTGCAAAGGGTGTGTAATAAACCGGCAGCACTGAGGCGTTTAGTTTCTTTGGGTCGAAAGTTTTAAGTTGACCAAGGCGTGCGAGATAAATATTCTGCGGTTATCGGTAGATATTTGGAAAGAGGCTATGCAAAAGATGTAGAGACGGAAGCTGACGACACTGGCTTCAAGTGGTACCTACCACATCATGCTGTTCTGAATCCTAAGAAGCCGGATAAATTAAGGGTTGT